CGTCCGCACCTACATACGTGCAGACGCGTAGTAGACCGTTGCCAGAGAAATCCAGAGGGAGCGGTGTATACAACTCGTTTCGATCGTACAGAACTCGGCGCGAGCGAGCGGATTCCGTCTCGATCTCGTGCCTATAGGGTGTCGCGGAATCTGTGGACAACTGCGTAAAATCTATACGATGCGAGCGAGTCAAATCGTCTAACGTATATATATATATATATATATATATATATATATATATCTCGTGTGACGACACGACGTATTGCCAAAACTGAAGCAGCAAGAGGGAACACTTAATTAGCGCCTGAGATTGACCTAAGTGTCACGACGATGACGCGGCCCTTCCGCGTCTTCTTAATGTTTGTCTTCGCCGATAGACGTTCCGCTTGAAGAAACATGAAAGTTTCGCGCTACGTGCATCTCTTCTCTTACTTTTAAATTGATTTTTAAATAACGTATATAGTATTTCGTTGTTTCGGATGGACCGGATCTTTATAATCGGTCGTTCTTTACGAATGTTAATCACGTCAATTCCGGTCTGCGTTAATTAGGAAATAATCGTGTCAATTCTGCAGGTTTAAAAGAGGATGCCTTCAATTCTGAAGCGAATTCTTTTCCTCTCCTTCGCCCTTATACACGAGATAGTGCCACGATTCTCGTTTCCCATTTTTTTTCCCCCCCCCACAGCTTTTTTTCTGATAGATTGCATTCTGCATCGAGGAGCATGCCGATGCATCATTGACTTTTAATCATTGTACTCAAGACTCTTGACTCACGGTTATGTTTCATTAATCATACTTACATCTCATTATCGTTGACAGTGTTTCTGTGAAAATTCTGTTATCGTTACATTCTCATTATGCGTTTCGTGTTGCAATTTCAGCAGCGTACAACTCGACTTTGGAAAGTGTATAATCAAACAGCAAACAAACATCATATTTGCATCCGGACGTGATACGCTCTAATTCTGTACTTCTATTCATATCTACCCTCACATTTACATCTAATTTCCTAACATCATATTTTAATGCCCGCGAGAGAGGCGATACTACGTTGTAATGTACTTTGTGACGATAGTGTTGTTTATATCGAGAATGTTTAATGTACATATAAATATAGGCTGGATTGAGCGTTACAAATTTATTTATTTTATTTTATTTTTTAATTTAAATTTCTGCGAAGAAATATTTCACATTATAATAAGCTGCTTATAAATTTTATCTTAATTCATTTTACATCAATGTTAATTTTATCTATTAATCGCATATTAATTATGCATCGATCATATCCAACGTGATATTTCTTAGCTTAGAACTTTTGTGTTATTTCCAAGAAAAGAACTCACGTTCCAATTCGCTGTTTGCGCATTGTCATAGAAAACGCGGTTTATAGAAAATATATCGGTAGAAATTCCGATATCTTGCCTCGAACCTACCAGAATGCCGGCGGAATCACCCCTTCAACCTTTACCGATCTCTTCGACAAATCAATTCGTGCAACCAATACCCGACCATCATCAAACAGCCAACTTCAGGAATCAATATCACATTATCGCGATTTTACTCACATTTCATGCGGATCGTAACGAAATCATTCTCCCCCTATCCCCGCAACGCCGCTCTCCCCCATTCATCTCGTCGAGCATTTTGATTTTTCACGGATGAGCCATCGACCGACGCTTTATTTCATCGCAGCCATTTTTCTTTTGAGTTGCTGCTCCCTACCCTGTTCCTAATTTCTGTTACAGATCTCGTACAACCTATAGGCACCGCGTACAATAACGAGAGACAGCGACGAGGATGTAGCCCGTGTGGCAGGGCTTTTCGACGAGAGAAAGAAAGAGAGAGAAAGAGAAAGAACTGCATGAATTTCAAGTCAAGACGATGATGATGATGCGCGCGATACAGGGAAGAGGAATTGACCGAGGGAAGAACAGGTCAGCGTAGAAGAAAAGAAGGAGAGATTCCTCTTTGCTTCCTCGCGAGGGAATACGCCGGATGTTATCGCGAGACTGATAAAAACACTGCCAGGAGTAATGACGAGCTAGATTGCCGCTCCGTTCGCTGAACCGTTCCTCGGCCGATCTTAGCTTTCGCTCCTTGCTAACTGCATCTCCACCTGCCCTCCCCTCTCTTCTCTTCACCTCATCCCCCTTCGTGTCAGCTCTGCCCTCGTCACGTATACACGTACACACGTTTTACATTAATATATACATACCCGTTCTCTCCCTCGAGAAGACTGAAAATAAAAGGTGGCGACATGTTGGGCGTGAGTCAGCCGGGCAACACGCCCTCGAGCTTACGGCACTCGGCGAGCTTCTCGTGCTTGCAACGCGGCACCGCTGGCGAAGGTCATCGCGCGAGGACCTCGACGCTGCTGCAACAACCGAGTCTGCAGCTGAGCAACGGTCATCATCAGTATACGTCCAGCGGCCATGCGGCGGCAGCGGCGGCGGCGGCGGCGGCGGCGGCGGCCGCCGCGTCTGTGGCGACCACGCATTGCTCTCTCCTGCCACACCATCAGCAGCAACAGTCCCGCGAGCCGTTTGATTCCGTCCTTCAGGACGGCAACGATTACGGCTTTGTGAGGATGCGACCACGATTGCGCAGCACGAATGCGACCTTGTATCACGAGGAAGAGGTGGCGGCCGCGAAGAACGCCCTGAGGGAACAGCGCGACGCCGCTGCGTTCAGCGATCGCGAATGCGACTCCAACTTCAGGGACTGCTCGTTGAAAGTCAAGGACCACCGCGATCTCTCGCCGAAGGGAACAGCCAAGAATCAGAACCCTCTGCGGGGCGCGCTGATCCTTTTCACTTCAACGTCATCCTGGTGGAAGGCCCGACAACGGGAGGAGCAGCTGAACGCAACTGGCGCCGCCGCGATCAGTGTACCGTCGTCGGAACGGAAATGGTCGGGCGCTTCGATGGCATCGCCTTCCAACGAGAGAAAGTGGTCATCTTCGATGACGTCGCCTACGAACGAGCGGAAGTGGTCCATGGGTAACAGCCTGCTGACCTCCCCGTCGAACGAGAGGAAGTGGAACAGATCGTCGGTCTCCTCTACATCGACGAACCAACAGGACCGGAAGTGGCGGTCTCTCGGCGCACTTTTGAGGACTCCCGCCGGCGCTAGCGGTAACTCTCACGTCAGCCAGAACTCTCTGTCGCACAACATGAGCGTGTCCATGATCGAGGGCGATCATCACTTCCGCGAGGAATCGCGCGGCTCGAGCTGCAAGACGCGCTACCAACAGCCGACGTCCTACTCGGCGCGAGTCTCTCGCATCAGTAGAGACGTTTATCGGGAGAACGGAGAGTTTGGCCAGGTTGCCGGCAGGTCGAAGGTCAGCCGCAGGTTGTACCAAGATAACGATCCGACAAATGACCGCGAGCTCGACGAGAGACACGTCGCGCAGCGTAATCGACATCAGTTGGATGACCTCGAACAATGCAGGGGCAATCGAGGGGAAGGACGCGAACACTGCCGAGCCGTGGAACAGAAGAGCGCCGTGGAGACCCGCGGCACGGTCTCCACCACGCGATCGAGCCGCGCGCAAAGCTTTTATCTTCTGGACGACTTCCTGCGGCCGCAGCCGCAGCAACCGAGCAACAAGTGCATGCTGAATCTGTACATGTCCCCGTCGCATACCGTCAAGTGCGGCAACGAGCACGGCAGGTCGTGCGAGATCAGGCAGGCGACCTGCCAGCAGGCGAACGTCGGCAGCAACATCACGCCGCCGCGACGCCACAATTCGAGCTCGGACAGCCTCGAGGTGGCCACCAGCCCGCTGCCGCCGCCGGTGCCGCCGCCGCCGCCGCATCAGACCGCCGGTAACGCGCGGGACCGCGAGCGGAATGAGAATCCGAAGGAGGCGAGTAAGGACGTGTGCCCATGCAAACTGTGCTGGACCAACATGCAGAGATCCCTCGTGGAAGAGGTAAGTGAAGTCCCCCTCGAGGGGGTGCGCCGGGCAATAATTGAGTCGTTCGTCACGCCGCATACTCCACGCTCGGAGATCCGCGGGAGATCCGAGGTTTGAGAAATGAGACTGTGATTAAGGGACTTTGACAAAGGATCGTGCCGGACGAGGTCGCCGTCCCCCGCCTGGCCGATTCAAGCGGTCATATGGCGTGTCTCCGAACAATAATCTTGTATATAACGCTTTTCATATAGGCATTTATTTCTAAGTAAACAAATGCGAAGCCAAGGTTTTAATTAAGGTTAATTCCAATCATTTAATAAGACGTCATCGAGCTTTAACACCTGCTAGATATAATTTTTAAATGTTGGCGCAGCACCTGTCAACATGTCAAGCTAAATATATATGTATTAAAAAAATATTTCATGCATTTATCGTTTAATTCATAAATAATTATATAGATATATAATTTACGAATTATGAAACACGATAAGCGGTATATTTTATCGTGTAACTTCAAACGAATCTTGCTTTAATAGGATTTTAATTTGTGGTTTAATGTTGTCGGGGAGATATCTAACGTTAAAAGTCTCCGAGTAATAAAAATATTGATTTGATCATGTTGCGCCGACCCCACCGAAAGAAATCGATACGTCTGAAAGAGAAACCGAATAAGCGACACGGCATTTCGCCTGGATGAGGAATTGGTCGGTTCGTTGTGGGTTTTATCGTAATCGTTATCCGCGATGTTTATGTTGCGGCTTTCACCCCGGTGTGTGCCACGACTTCGCGATCGCGCGAAGATAGACGCTCGGCCACGAAAAGGTCCTCGCGGCGAGTCGCCGGAAAAGTCTTTCCCCTCTGGAGAGAAAGAAGGATCGACTATCCTCGACTGACCGGTCGTCCGTCGACATTTTTCCGTGCAGACGGCTCGCCATTAACTCGCCTTTAACCCGTCCCGCGCCGTTTGCCGCGCGCCGAAACGAGCGAGCCTAACGCCTCCGTCGGGATTCCGTTTTACTGCCGCGATCGGTAGCGCGCGATTCGACAGAGACGACGACGAAATCCCTGCTTCGTGGAGACACGCTGTTACGGAAGTCAGAAAGAGAGAAGCGAGCCTTCGACGAAGGATTTAACATCGCGCGACGGGTTTCACGAAGTAGGCGTCTTATCTGCCTCGCGTGAATTAACGTTTATGATCCTGAAACAAGATTTGCACAGCCTTCGCGTCATTAATGTACGTAATTTATTGTACTGTGTTATTAATGCACATTACATACTTAAAAAAAATAATTGAGGACTTTTTGATGTAGAAAAAAAACCGCATGCCGCAACGTTTGATTTTGAAGATTATCTTACTCGTTATCAGCCGATCTTTCGAGTGACAAATGAAGATGCGGGAACTCGCGAGGTTACACATCGAAGATCGCGATGTCGCGCAATAGGCAACCAAGAGATTCGATCGAATCCTTTTATCCTGCGTGAAAGGCTACGCGTTTACATTGATCAGCAGTCATCGGACAAGAATTCACGTCACGTATTGTGCTGTGACAGGTAAAATAAATGTAGGGACGATTGCGCATTTATTCTCGAAGTCATCTTACGATCGCGTGATTATCGCGAATAATCGGGGGGCGCTTCGAACAAGATACACGAGACGACACGAAAAATAGAGAATATGAAATTACATCGTGCCGCATTAAAATTATACTACTCAAGTCGCTGCGCTGCGTTATAACTTTTAGTTTTTAAATATTTTAATAGTCAAGCAGATTGAAATTCTATTAAAGTTAAATTTATTTGAAACTTAAACTTCAAATTAATTTTAACATTTTAAATTAAAAGAAGAATAGAATTTTATTACTTGTTTGCACTTTTGACGACGTTACGTCGAAGGGAGAACAACTCCAATTATACGAAATAAAATTCTATTACATTTCGGCGAACTGGATAATGCAAAACGACAGTATTGTATTTCGAAACGCGCAGCGTGCAGATCGAGTTCACCGAACGTATAGTCACTTATGTGCGTAATATGGATATAGCATTTCCTATGAATGGAGCCGTAATGCGGATCGCAATACCGTTCGTAGACCTGCAGCCGGTATCGACCCTTTGACCCGAGAACCGCCTCACCCAGACGAAGAACCGCGCGGTTCTCTATTTGATCAATCGAATTCAAACAAATATGCGCCGGAGCTACGCACTCGCGCATATGCGGAAGAGTAAAAGGAAAAGAAAGAAAGAGAAAAAACAAAACATACGTTAAACAAATGTAAATTCAAAGGCATGCCTGTGGCAAAATCGAAGAAAATTTAATCACAACCTCGCTGTGTACATTATATGAGATCTTATACATAAAGAAAAATCTTTTTGTTTAAAGCTCCGGCGACGCTCGGCGAATAAATACGCTGCATAAATATATGCCTCGCAGACTAAACACAATTCCGGACTTGCGATCTTCCACGCTCATCCGGACTCTCGATAAAATCGATCGCCAAGTCGAGTCCGCGACGCGGTTCGAAGAACCCCAGCGGGGTTACAAGTTCACACGCTTTCCGGGTCGCGACCCATCGCGCGCGCACGCACACGCACGCACAAATAAGCCGGGCTTATCGCCGGGGGATAAGTGGGTAGCACGTGCTGGCGCGGGATGTCTACTGTTTGAATTGGACAGCCGCCCCGCGGCTCGTCCTCGCCCTTTTTTTTCTCCCCGCCCCGATGGGGAGCGTGTGTCGAACGTCCGTTCGTTATTTTTAGGACGCGGGGCGCGCGCGGCGTGCCGAAGGGGGAGGAAGTCGTATTTCTATCCTTCCAGTATCTGCTCTATTATTAGTGGATGCTGGAGAGGTACACACTGGGCTTAACTGGGTTTCCGTTTGATTTTAAACACCGGCGTCCATCTCTACGGAGAAAAGCGCCCCCCGGACGCGCTGCTCTCCTTTTTTCCTCTTTCCTCTCTCTCTCTC